TACCGACCGACCAAGAACTACCTGAGCTACCTGCCCGCGCACGACTACAGCGCCTTCGAGGTGAGCTGAGGCGGCTCCAGAGCTCCCCGTACCCCCATAGCGCCCTTGTCCCCCTTGGTAACCTGGCTGGGACTGACCCTGCCTGTCCCCGTCCTTCCCCTGTGCCAACCGCCGTACCCCTCCTGTGTCTCTCCCCCGTTACCGTTTGTGTCCTGTCCCCGTTCTCCCCACCATACCCCGCTTGTGTCGCTCCCCGTTCCTCCCATGTCCCTCACCGCTGCCTTCCCCACAGACCGAGATCATGCGGAACGAGTTCGAGCGCCTGGCGGCCCGGCAACCCCTGGAGCTGCTCAGTATGAAGAGGTGAGTGGGACCGGCAGGGCAGTGTTCCGGTGCCTCGGGTGAACCGTGCCCGGTGCCCCAGATGAGCTGTGCCGGTGCCCTGGGTGAGCCCGTGCCCTTTTTAGGTACGAGCTGCCCGCCCCCTCGTCGGGGCAGAAGAACGACATCACGGCGTGGCAGGAGTGCGTGAACAATTCCATGGCACAGCTGGAGCACCAGGCCGTGCGCATCGAGAACCTGGAGCTCATGTCCCAGCACGGCTGCAATGCCTGGAAGGTGTACAACGAGTAAGGCCTCAGCTGCTCTGCTGAGCAACCAGTTCTGTGTTGAATTTCTGTGTATTTATTGGGTGTAAATCCAGAGGGGGTCTTTAGAATGTAGCCTGGAATAGATGAACCCCTGTAAGAAGAGGCTGATCTCAAAGCTGTCTCTGTGGCCAAGAAACAGCATGTGTTTTAATACATCCCTGTCTTGAATGTCATGGGTTATTGTTGATGATATTGTACACTGGAAGGTGTACAACGAGTAAGGCCTCAGCTGCTCTGTGAACACCACGTTCTGTGGTGTATTTCTGTGTATTTATTTGGGTGTAAATCTAGTGGGGGTCTTTAGAATGTAGCCTGGAATAGATGAACCCCTGTAAGAGAAAGAGGAGGATGATCTCAAAGCTGTCTCTGTGGCCAAGAAACAGCGTGTGTTTTAATACATCCCTGCCTTGAGTGTTGTGGCTTATTGTTGATGACAGTGGGTGTTAATTAAAGTTAGTGATAGCCTGTGAAGGAATAACTCAGTAGTGGAAATGAAGATGAGTTACTACAGATCCTGGGCTTAGCCTGGAGCTGTAATAAAGCTGCTGCAAAAGCCAAGAAAAGGTTGTAGAGTGTGGCTGCAGGAAGCACTGGGGCTATTCCAGACAGAGAATTTTAATGCTCACTTTTGAGAAGGGTTGGCTGAGCCTTAGATAAAAGAGTAGGCTAAAGGAATTCCAAACTGAGAGAAGGCAGAGGGCTCCTGAGCTCAGGAGAAGGGAAGCAGGTAAAGGATCTGCTGGCTGGGCCAAGGTGCTGCAGGGACTTGTTGGATCCTGAACTCTGAGAAGTTCAATGTCAGGTGAAATGGGGGTGATTTACCATTTGTGTGTTTTAAATGCTTTGCTTCCATTCTGTCATCAGGCACCTGGTTCATATGATAGAACAAGCCCAGAAAGAGCTTCAGAAATTGAGGTGGGTCATTCTTATTTAGATTTTTGTACTGAAATTGGAAGTGAACCTTTCCCTCCCATCCATGCTATACAGAGGAAGGTGTATGTGCTGGCTGCTGCCATGGTCACAGGGAAAAAGACCCAGTAAAAACAATAATTAGGAAATGTGACCCTGCTCTCATCATGCCTGTTCTACTCAAAATTCTGTGTTTGCTTTGTTTGAACCTCTGCTCTGGATTGGTGGAATCCTCCCTGAAATTACCAACAGTAAAATTTCATTTTACTACTGATAATTTAATGTGCAGTTGTCTCTGTAAGAACATCTTCCCTGATGTTTGGTTTAACCTTTCATTTTTATTTGTCTCAGAGTTTTCTGTCATCCCGGAACTGAGATTTGTCCATCTGGATGTTGTCATTACAGTCCTGGCTACACAAATATTTTCTGGCAGTACTTCTAGGGATTGAGTGTACTTGGAAATTAGCAACAGGTACTGCAAATGCCAAAGAAATGAGGAAATAAAAATACAGCTTTTTCTCCCCAGGAAAAACATTCAAGACCTAAACTGGCAGAGGAAGAACATGCAGCTCACAGCTGGGGCTAAGCTGAGAGAGATGGAATCCACGTGAGTGTTGACATTTCTCTGTTAACCCTTCCACAGCTTTCTCCATTGCTTCAAATTTACTTGAAATTATTCTTCCAGTTGAAATTCAGTGATTCTTTGGAGCTGCTGTAGGATACTGCTGCTTTGCAGGAAGTGTTTTAAAGTATTTGTAGTTTGGTTCCATATTGTATTTACTGAGGTTGAGTGAATCAACAGGTGGGAAGAGGGTATATTTATTAGCTGCTTCAAATTTCCTAAATTGTCTTAAACTCTTTTTATCTCAATATTGGCAGTTGGTGGATGAGTCTAGTCATGAATATTTTTGTGTTTTCAGGTTCAACAGGGTTAATAATTACTCATTGTCACTTTGGTTGTTCCAATGACCATTGATGTCAACTAAGGATTGTCATGTGTTAGGAAGAATACTGCTTTATTTGGTGTTTCTGCTTGCTTTGGAGCAATGGTGTCTTTGATTTTTTTCCAGAGGAGTGTTACATAAAACCTAAAGGCTCTTTTTATTTCTTTTCCCTTCCAGGTGGGTCTCTCTTGTCAGTAAAAATTATGAGATTGAACGAACCATTGTGCAGCTGGAAAATGAAATTTCACAAATCAAACAGCAGCATGGGGAGGCAAACAAGGAGAATATCCAGCAAGACTTTCAGTGAATTAATCCTGACTTACCTTAGCGCTGCATGTGTTAAAAACTACAAACCAGACACTTTGGAGATGCTGTGTCTGTAGACACCTCTAGCTGCAGGTGTGTGAGGTGGTAAAAGGATATTTCCATCATTTATTTTCCTTGTTTTAAATTCTAGGAGGAGGTAGGGTGGACTCTGAACATCCTGTTTAAATGTATCACAGCCACCACTAAATGTACTGTGAATTGTTTAACTTTTTATGTACTTAAAGCAGGAGCTCTTAAAGCAGGAGCTTGTGTTGTGTTTTCCCCTACACCTTTAATAAATCCTGTTTTGCTATTTCTCTGGTTTCTGCTTCATGTCTAAAGCCCAGAGCTGTGGAGGAG